ATCCCTTATCTATAAGCAAATCCATAAAACATCAACTTTTCAAACCTGGTGTCAGCAAAAAATCTGTAAAGGGTAGCCAGAAATTTGCAAAAAAAGTCTTATTTTAACCTTGATGAAATAAACCAGCTTTATATTCCTTCCTTTTACTTCCAACAGTCTTAATCTTTAATTCATCCAAATATTGTTATAGGATTTGATGTTTCTTCAATTCTTCTTTATCCCATTGCGCAGACTTCTTCAAGGATTTAACCCTCTTTTGTAGATCCAATAAGAAAACATTTTCCAGGTCATTCTCTTGGTTTGTCATTTGTATTTCCCCTTTAATTTTTAAAACTTTAGCCAGTTTCTTTTATATATCCAATAAAGCATCTGTCTTATCAGGAAAAAATTACTCCACATCTATCATTCTCTCATTAATATATTTTGGACACAGTCTATCCGTAGAGTCAGATATCATTACTTAGACTGTTGATATTGTAGCTACTAATTTCTGGCTCCATTCTTCAAAGATCTCCTTTAATATTTCCAATGTTATGACGTTGTGTGCCATTTTGTAAGTCCCAGCACTATCCGACACCAAAAGCAGGCTGTCAGACATCATTACTTAGACTGTTGATATTGTAGCTACTAATTTCTGGCTCCATTCTTCAAAGATCTCCTTTAATATTTCCAATGTTATGACGTTGTGTGCCATTTTGTAAGTCCCAGCACTATCCGACACCAAAAGCAGGCTTGTATATTTTTCCTTCTACTTAGAATCTCTAATGTCCAGTTTCTAAAATCATAAATTCACTTGTCTTTGTTATGACTTACAATAGCCAAGATAGCCAAAATATATCTGGTTCTCACAAGAAGCTATTTATTTTTTATAGTTAATTCCAAAAATCTTAGAGTAAAAGTCAATATTCCAAATTTATCTGGACCCTTAATCCATTTATAACTTTCTTAGATCAAAATCTTACTTAGCTTTTTGCTAAATTTATCTCAAATTTAAGTTCTTAGCTTATAATTCGTTTTTCCTTTCTTCAGAGTTGAAGCTAAGCTCACCCAGTGACTTTTCAAGCTTGTAATTCTGAAGGTCTCTAATAGCTTTAAGATGGTCAATAGGCAATTTCCAAAAGTGATTAGAAAGTAAGACTTGTGAACTTAGTGTCCTTTAAAAGGCTCTGGCATGGTTGCAAGATGGCTATTCACCGGTTCTTTGATCTTTGCTGTGGGCATTGGCTCTACTTTTGTGGAGATGCTTTCAGTTTGCCATGTCTCTCCCAGAAGTCTCATGTGATCACAACTTCTGACTTCCTGCTGGCTTCCCTATTGACTTTGCTTGTGGGAAGGTCACGAATCGTGATTGTGTGATCAAGGAACGCTGCAATGGTTGGAAATCTGGGCAGGTTGCCAAGCACCCGATTGCGATCATATGACCATGGGGAACCAAAACAGCCAGAACTCTGAGGACCGGTCATAACTACCATTCATTCAGTGCTGTTGCAAATTTGAACGGTTGATGAGTGAGTGGTTGTTAAATGAGGACCACCTGTATTCAGAATTGGGCTAGAACAAGAATCTGATGCTGTGCCTATCAGTCTTTTTAAAATACAAAGGGTATAACTTACCTTTGGGCTCAAAGGGGCAGTAGAGGAATTATCTCTAAAGGACAGCCTTTGCTCTGTCTCTTGCTGTGTATAGGGGTTTCCCTTACTTAGAACTTACCACTCCAATGAGGTCCCCACGCCCATATTCCCCAACCAACTCCTTCTTGCCATTGGCCTTCTGGATGACAGAGCGCAAGCGCCCATTCAGCACAATATAGGTGCAGTCAGACTTGTCGCCTTGCCTGGAGGAAAAGAAAGAATCATGGATTAAACTGGTCCCCTCTTCTGATAACCAGTAAAGCTTACCATGAAGCATGTTATTTGTGTGCAAGTGTCACGGCACTGTGTGCATCTAATTGAACATAGGGCTCTTTAGCAAAGAAAAGGCATCAAATGGAGGGGAGGAACCCACGGAAACAGCCCCTTCCCCTTACCTGTAAAGTGCTCGCCCAGCCTCTACTGCCATCCAATCAATAGCAAAGTCCATTTGACGCACAAAAGGAGACATGCGGGCTGCCACAGTATGAGCCACGCTCAGTACCACACTTGGCTGTTCTCTCATAATCCTAAGGAGGAGTCAGAGGTTACTGGCAGACTACAGCCTCTGCAATATACAGAAGTCCCAGTTCAGTTCCCAGTATTGCCAAAGTCAGGAGAGAAACAGTCCCAGTTTGGATCCAGGGAAGGTGCTGCTAGACACAGTTACAGCAATGGACATGGTGAGTCTCAAGACAAAGCTAAATTAATTTTTATTTATTTATTTATTCAATTTGTGTGGCTGTCCATCTCGACAAGTGACTCTGGGCAGCGAAGAATCATAAAATCAATTAAAAACAACATTTCCACTATAATACAAAAGTTAAAATACGCACAGCAGCCAAGGGAAATATTACGATCCATAGATGTTAACAACGAGGAGATGGGACCCTTTACACACTTGGGGCCCCAGGTCCGGGCACATAACCAGGTCTTTAGGACCTTACAAAAGGCTGGCAGGGTCAGGGCCATCCTGATCTCTGCAGGGAGGATGTTCCATAGGGCAGGCACTATGGCAGAGAAGGAACACCACCTGGGCCCTGCCAGCTGGCATTTCCTGGCAGACAGGACCTGGAGCATGCCCATCCTGCTGGACTGGATTGGACGGGTAGAAACAACTGGGAAAAGAAGGTCCCTCAGGTAACCCCATCCCAAGCCATGAAGGGCTTTAAAGGAAGCAACCAGTACCTTGAATTGCACCTGGAAGCACCCCGGCAACCAATGCAGCTCACAGAGTAGTGGTGTTACATGTGCTGAGTAACTGACAGCATTTACTACCCGTGTAGACGCATTCCGCACCAGCTGAAGTTTCCGAATGCTTTTCAAGGGCGTATAGAGTGCATTAGAGTGGTCCAGATTTATGCACTCCTTTAGTGGGAAATAAATTTATGTACTCCTTTAGTGGAAAATACTGGAAACCGTACAGTTTCTACAAGAGTATGTATGCGTATATATACATACACACACTCTCATGTATATCTTCAGAACTGTTGTATCAGTTTTATCCAGGAAGAAACAGAGATGAAAAAAGAGATGTGCCAGAGCAACATTTCTTTACAGCCCCACACTGTCCACTGAGAATTCCTGATTTTTAGTGCCTGTCCTCACATTTTATCCACCTCAATCAGTCTCCTTGATTTCAAAGGAACAGCATGGTTAAAAAGTCAGGCTTTGAGTTTTGATAGGCTGTGTTGCTATTAAAGAAAGATAACCACTGTTTTTAGGCAGCGTCTTCTACTGGAGAAGGAGGAGAGAGAAAAAGTACGGTAGAGCCACGAAAGCCCTTACTGAGTGAAATGCATATTGACGGCATGAAGCCACAGACAGAACCTCTCTTTCCCCTACATTTTACCTGTGAGGCAGCCCAACCAACCCCACAGCAGAGGACCCCAAATGGCTCAGGCTAAAAGAACAGGAATAGCTGCCAATATGGAGAACACAGCTAGGGATTGGGGAGGACATGATGGCAGGAGAGCTGGGCAGAAACCAGCACACTTATGCACATGGTACCCACTCGTAAAAGTCAGACTTGGAGATCTTAAGGAAAGTGCAATCACGATTCGCTTTGATGGTGAAAATAAGCGGCTCTCCAGTAAGCACTGCTAGCTGGCCCACCATCTCCCCAGGCTGCACCAAGAAGAGGCACACGTCTTCGGCCTTGTCAATCATCCGCTGGTAAACGTGCAGACAGCCCCACAGTACAAAGTGCAAGCTGACATCCTGCCAAAAGAGACCAGAATAAGCAGCCCCGCTCAAGGGAATTGGCTCACCACTGGGCAGGACTCAGAAGCTTCAACGGGTCTCTAGAAATACTTTTTTTTTTTTTTAAAGCAAGCTTTACCTCTCTTAAAATCTAAATTGAGTTTTTTGCTAAAAAGCTGGAAATTGGTGTTTTAAGAGGAGTGCTTTGCAGCCAACATGCATTCCACTTTCTTTTTCCTTCTCCCATTCCTGACAAATGTATTCCCCTCCTTTTCTAATCCACAACCAAAGTGGCCAGATTCTCTATAAAAAGCTGTGTTGTGCTACAGCGCAGGATTCTACAGCGCAGTCTTCAACAAACTGAACAGTGAAGAATCCATGCAACTGAATACACAGTGAAATTCAACCCACATGAAATGCTTCTTGAGACTTCTTTCCCTCTAGAACACAAGTCCATCCAACATTAGGTTCTGCTTACAGGAAAAAGTAGCTATTTTTGTGGGGGAAAGCGCTGCTTCCATCTTTTTCTGACCTTCAAGGGGGAGGAGAGGTGCTACAGTTATCATATTTGTTTTTTCTCTGACCAAGCTAGTCTATGATCTTGTATGCCATCTACAATACTTACTTGATCTCCTTGACGGGCAATCACTGTTCCTGCCTTGGCATGGTGCAGAAGCACCCGATTGTTTAGTAAGGATGAATCCTGTGGAGAGAGCGGCAGAATGGTATTAGGTGTCCTCCTGTTTGGAATAGGAGCTGAATCCTTTAGACCTGACTGAAAGGGAGGCTGGATTAACCCAGGTTTTCAGCATGTCATGGCCAATGTGGTGTCCTGTTCTTTTTATCAATATTCTGAGTTCTGCAGTAAAGAGCAAAGAATGGTATCCTGGGCAAGAGAGAAAAAACAAAATTCTAAAAACCCATGATCATCATCCTGAGGATTCACCCTATGCAGCAGGGTCAATAGTAAGCTCAGGAAACGAACTCTGACCTCTACAGCTTTCCTGAAATAATATCATTCTCTAAAAGCTCCAAGACATAACCGTTTCCACAGCTCTTTTGCAAAAACTCAAAAGATTCTGAAACTGAAGGAAATAAGTTTCAGTCTCAAATGTCCCTATAGAAGAACAGGATCATTAGTACCAGAGTATCTTTGCAGTACAGGCAGTCCTTGCTTAACAATGGTAATTGGGACTGGAATTTCCATCACTAAATGATGCGGTCATAAAGCGTGATATCATGTGACTGCATCGCTTAGCAATGGCAATCCCAGCAGTCCCTGTTGCCATCATTAAGCAAGGATCGTGGGTTGTTAAGTGAGGACCTCCTTGCAACTTCCCGCTGGCTTCCAACAAGCAAAGCCAGCTGGCAGGAAGTTGCAAGTCCCAGGTGGTTTGCAAGCAAAGTGGCAGGAAAGTGGCTGCTGCTGGGTGGGGAAGGGTGTGCAGGCGACCAGGGAAGCATGGCGCGAGTGTGGCAGAGCCTGGGGTGGCTGCTGCCAGGTAGGGTAGACTTACTGGAGCGATCTGTGACTTCCCCATTGACTTTGCTTGTGGGAAGCTGGCAGGGAAGGTTGCAAATGGTGATCATGTAACCATGGGGAGTTGCAACTGTTGTAAGTGCAAGCCGGTTGCTAAGTGCCCAGATTGCAATTGCGTGACTGTGGGGGTGGTGAGACAGCTGGAACTTTGAGGACAGGTTGTAAGTACCACTCGTTCAGCACTGTTGCAACTCTGAGTGGTCACTGAATGAGTGGCCACTAAGCGAGATCTGTACATAGGAAAGAAATTAGAGGTTTTGGTTCACTCATTAAAGCAGCACAGGTTGCCCTCACTTAATGTTCAAAGTTACGACGGTGCTGAAAAAGTAACTTTATGACCAGGCCTTGTACTTACAACTGTTGCAGTGTCCCTGCAGTCACGTGATTGCCATCTGCATGCTTCACAGCCGGCTTCTGACAAGCACAGTCAGTGGAGAAGCCGGCAGTAACAAAACGTCAGCAAGAAAACAACCAAGCTCAGAGAACACCAAGGACTCCATGGTAGTAAAATTGCAAGTCGTGGTTGTGTGACGTCTTGCTTAATGACTGCAGGTGATTCGCTTAAAGACCACAGCAGAAATGTGTTTGTAAGTCCATCACTGTCATGTAATGTCTTGCTTAACAACCACGTCACTTAGCAACAGATTTGTCAATCCCAGTTGTGGTTGTTAGGTGAGGACTACCTGTAATGTAGAAGCTTCTGCGTGGCATTAAATCATAGATGTTTTCCAAGTAGAAACCTTGCACACTCTACAAGCATATAGGGAGTTCATGCACTAGAGTACAACAACTTCATACCTCTGTAAAACACCTGTAGCATTTACTCTACACACACACATACCTGCACATACTGGTTTATAACTCTATTCCCAGCATACAATAATTATCTCAAAACAGCATTCTTAAGCAGTTCCTATATGTCTTGTACAGTTTAGAACAACTATCTTCTCTAGGCCTCAGTTGTCCTTTTATGCAAAAAAGGATTAAGATTGAACAGGACTATTGCAAGACAAACCTTATGAATACTGTGCAGTACAAAGTGCAGTACAACCAAAGATGATTCCAGGAGGACTCCTAGCACTATTAGTCAAAAGGCATGTTTTCTTACAATGAATGGAAGAAAAATAACAAAACTGGTAGGAAGAGAGAAGAATTTTCAAAAGGAGGACATGATTGTGGATTATCTGGTCCATAAAACTCATGAATGAAGCAGGGCAATGGCTGGAAGTACTGTACCATGAAAAAAAGTTTCAGGGCCATGATAACAGAAAAGGATTTGGAAGTAAAAGGCAACTCTTAATTGCTCTGGTCCATAACAGATGTTCAATTCCGGTTGAGAGGGGAGTAAAGACGACTCAAACATTGAACACTGAACACCACCAGCCTCTGGACTGGCTGAGAAAGGAAGGGAGCAGCAAGGAAGAACCCCCGCCCTCGGCCACTGATGATCAGAATACACTTCCTGCAACACACTACCTCAATCTTCATGAGTTTGACCAGCTCCTGCTTGGCAGCCTCAAAAATGGCACTAGTCTGGCGGCCTTGGTACGGCCCAAATGGACAATCCCCAGTTGCTGAGTCATCCTCACAATAGTTGTAATGGTAGATCCCTGATGGCTGCTCCTCCACTGTCACAGACTTTCGTTCACGGGACTCTTGGGAAGCTGACTGTCAAAGACAGAAAAGGTAGAAGCAACTCAGGGAGCCCCAAGAAGCAAGGGATTATTCATAGGAAGATTTCCCAAAGGCAGAACTATCTCTTCCCAAAAAGGCAGCCCCACTTCTATCCCTTCTAATGATATCGAAAAACCTATAAGGAAATGACAAATATCAAAGTTGACAAGCTCCCACCCCTCTTGGCAGAGACTTACTTGAGCAAAGCCATCCAGTGCAACTGTACTGTCTTCCTGAAGAGACACTGAGATGCGGCCTCGCTCATAGGCCATATCAAAGTCTGACCGTGGGCCTTTCTGAATTCCTGAGTGAGAAAGAGAGCATCACACTAATCAACTGGACTGCCCAAGGCCATAGACACTACATCAAATAAAGAGGGAGAATGGGCCAAAAGGGGGACATACCTGAAATGTCAACTGGCATGGAGATGCAACGGCTCAACAGAGGAGGAACAGGGGGTTCTAATGAACCTGATTTCAAGGGATCACCTGGAAGTATATGAGGCTGTCACTCACCAGAAACAGTGTTAATGTGAGCATATGATTCTCCCATACCTTTGAAGGAATCCATAACCAATAACAGGGAACACAAAACTGCTCCCGGGGAAACCTCTGCCAGTGGATGACTAGATGAGATTCTATTCCTAGAGCCAGGAATATGCAGGGAGGAAGAAAAGAACATTGGAAATACTCAATCAGTGGCTGGGACCAGATGAGGTTTTGTACTCTGGTGTGATCTGATCTACTAGAGACTAGTAGTAGCATCTGGACTCTTGCTTCTGCAGTATGTTACTTAGATGACATCACTGAAATGCCCTCACTAAGAAAGAATCAAAAGCTGGTATTCAGAACAAGGTTAGCATTGCCCCATTTTGGACATACTAATGGAATAGGCTTTAATTATATCCAACATCAGCCTCATACGGAGGAACAGCTACATCCAATCCAAGGGTAAGTTAACAACCCCACCTCACCTTTAGTGAGAGGAGAGAGCTAGCTGGAAGCAGGTACTAGCAAGTTATACCATGGGCAGAAGAAGGTGAAGCTGTATGTCCTAAGAGAGTCAGTCAAGAGGCAGAAAGGAATTAATTGCCTCGGAGGCTCACAGGTTGTGCTCAGCTCACACTTTGGTAGCAAATGCCAGCTTTGGATCCTAGGGCAGACAACTTACCTTGATCCTTAGAAGCATCTGGTTGCCTTCCAACACCATCCTTGTTGTCCTCAACAAAGGAAGCACCAATTATGCGTTTGCTGTGCCAGACAGGGCTTGTGCGGGAGGGGTGACTCGACTGGGGAAAAAGCCTCAGAGGCTGCATCTCCTGGGGATGGGAAACACACCCACGTCCATCACACAAGAAGGTGGGAAGCTCAGAGGAGGTCTCTTGACCAAATTTCTTGTGCTGGGAAACCCACTTTCTATGCTTAATCAGTAGTGAGGGGAGTGAATTCTGCACATGCTCAAAGGCTACTGTCAATTCCCATGTAAAGAGGGCAAGGCTTAGTTTGGGAGCAGGCTCCTGAAGGTAAAGCTGGGTAGGATGGGCCATAACTTACATGGCTGAAAAGCTCATTTGTCAGGCCCAGATAGTTGTGCAAGGCCAAGAAGGTGACTCTTTGAAGACGAACCATTATGATCTGAAATTGGAAAGAGCAACAGTGGCACATCGACAGATGGCTACCCAACGTGTTGTGTCTGTGTGGCACAGAAGGTGCAGTTGGTATACAAGTTCATCACAAGGGGCAATACATAGATTGTACTGATAAGAGAAAGAAGGGCACTTGCTTGTCTTCTGATTTCCACACAGCCACTTCCCACTCCCCCGTGGGCTCACTATAGCAGCCAGCTTAACTCTCAGTGTGAGAGACCTCTCTGCTGGCCCCAAAGACTGGGGCTTCTTGGTTCAGCCCACTGGCTGCCCTCCTCTGCACTTTCTCCAGCTCTACAATATTTTGTTGGAGATGTAACAGTCATCTCTCAGTGCAGTATTCTAAGCTTAACTGTGCCACAGAACTGTATTTAGTGATACGTATGGCAATGTTAGTTCCTGGGTGCAGCATCACTGCATGTTTCAGAGCTGCAAATCAAGTCAAAACATTGCAGAGATGACATGAAAGTTTATTTCTGCAAGTAATGCAAATTTGCTTGGTTTGCGTGCATAACTATTTCCTGCTTCTGCTGACATCCAAAACTTACACAGGCCAAACCCAGCAGGAAAACAGGGAAAGGAGATGCAGAAATGAAGAAAGAATAGAGACAGGGCATGCTGGAAACTCACCTGAACCACCCGGACCAGGCTCTCAGGATACTTCTCAAAGACCGCTGAAAACGCCTCCACCGGCAAACGCAGCACAGTGGAATCCTCAGCCACTCGTGCAGACACTGTCCGATATGGCCGTTGGTGACCCTGTTGGAACCCCACCCCCCGAAAGATCTAAGTAGTAGAGCTGGAGTTCTTTCTGCTCCACTAGTTATGTGGACAGAGTAGGAGGAGAGCTGTATTAGTCTATGGTAGCAAAAGCTCACAAGGAATCTGGTAGCCCCTTTTCCGACTAACAAATTTTAGTAAGAGCCATACACTTTTGTGAGCTAAGTTCACTTCATCAGATGCATAGAATGGCTTGATTGATGTAGGATTTAAAAGACAGATTAATTGGTAAAGTAGTTGTAATCTGTCTCACATGTAACCTGAATCTCTATAACCAACCTATCTTCCTCTCCCTTCCCCTTACCTCATCCCAATTTAAATGCAATTTAAATGTGCTCCATTGCATTGGAAGGTGATCTGCAGCTCACAAAAGCTTATGCCTTTAAATAACATTTGTTACTTGGAAAAGGTGCTACTAGACTCTTCTTGAGTTTTTACTGGTTATATGGAGTGATCTGACCAATACTTGATGTAGGGCTCAGCACCAGATCAGGTTTTATCTAATAGGCATGTCTGAGAAGGTACAAGCAGAGGGTTGGGTCAAGAGGCCTCTAACTGATAGTGGGACAGGCTAAGATGCATGTGGCTGAAGGGAGAAGGTTGTGGCTATAGAAGGGAAAACATTCATTGGGTTCACATTTTAATGTCTGATTTATACACTGTAAAACAATATGCAAACCAATTAAAGCTCTCTGAAAATTTGTGAAGCAGTTGACAAATTAAGTATGTATGTATTAGGGGAAAGTACACATACACAAAAGACATTACACAGCAGAAAAAAACCTTCCTATGTTTACATAGGAAAACACACGTTTTTATGTAAACTTTAAAAAAACATTAAAAAGAATGCAGAAATGGAACAAAATGAACACTGTAAAAAAAAGGAAAAAGAGAAATTAAGATCAATTCACTTTGAGGCAGATATGATAACTGTGGCTCTAAATGGAATCAGATCTTACCGTGATGACGTCCAAGATGCTGAGAAGACTGTGCACACTGTCCCCTGGGAACACCTCCTTCACAAGAGTCTCTTTCCCATCCTGAATCACACACACACAAACAGCTGTGAGGGGCTAGCCATGGTTCTTTCCCTGCCCTGACATTTAAATAAAGGCTTTCAGATAAATGGAAACAAATGGGAGCTTTGACAGTCATCTTGTAAGCAATATTCCTTTCAGCAGCTCTCACTGGAAGAAACACCAGGCCAGACTGGCCCTGTGGCTGGCACTGCACTGCATACTGCAGCCTTTTCAGGATATGCTCCACCCCTCCTCCTACCTGTTCAGACAGGAAGAGCTCCAATTTTCCATCCTGGACCACGTAGATGCTGGTATCAGGCTGACCTGGGCGAAAGACATATTCGCCTTGCTGGCACTGTTGAAAGGTCATGTGTTTGCACAATTCCAGGAACAAGGGTTTCTCAAAGTGGCCTAGCACCCTACAAGGAAGTAACAGGGCACAATTACAACCACAATCCTACCATATTAAATACTGAAATCTACCCAACCACACAATGCCCAATCTGCTTCTTGGGAACAACAGACTATTTTCTCTGAACTGGGCACAAAACCCAGAAGAATAACCACAATAAGGGAGGTACATGAAATCATGGAACCCCACTATCTCTGCTGGCCACTAAAACAGGTATACTGTTTTGCAGTGTTGTAATTTACTGGGAGCAAAGTTGGAGACCATTTGATAGTAAGGCAGCATATAAAGCTTTGAAAGAAACACTACTGCATCCTTCCTTCCTCACATGTATGTAGCCTTCCTATCATATCTTGTTTAACTCTTTATAGAGTGTCAGTAACTTCTGTAAAAGGCAAATAAAAGGTATTATAAAATCCTTTCAGTCTTCTTGTCAAACTAGGCAAGCTCAATCTTGAAACAAATCCCCAATGCAATCCTTCTCAAGTTTGAGTTAGTTGAGATTCCTAATGGGGGCACGTTTGCATTCCTCCTTTTTTCTTGCCTGTTCTTCTCTGATATCTATTTGTGCCAAGGAAACTAATTCTAGAAAATATATTTACTTTACTTTGGAAGTACATATTAATGAAGCTCAGCTGCAAACCTAATTAGTTTTAATATCCTACATGCTCTTGAAAATCTGGCCAATGAGAGGTCAAAAGCCACATGGGCAACAGTTGCACCAGATTTTATTTGACTTGTTGAGGACTACCTTCCAAAAGTGGGTGGCACTAGGACTCTTTGAAAAGGGGAGTGGAAGTTTTAAGGATGAAATGGGTGCCTTAAACCTCATGCAGGTTCTGTTCATCTATTCTTGAGCAAACCTGATCCTAGACAGGAGGATCAGTTGTACTCCAACCACAGCTGTCTGAGGATAGCTACTATTCATTTTAATACGTCAGTAGTTCTTCACTCAACACCCTCCCCCCCCAAATTGGCCATGCATTTATTAGAACTATAAAATAGTAAAAACCAAGCAGTCCTTCGTTTGGGATCTCCAGGCAATAGGAGAAATGGCAAGAAAAGGATGAGGAATGAATAGCAGCAACCTCACTATGTGCTTTGAGACCCCTACAGTGGAGAATCTTTGTAATGATAGTTACTTTATGGAAAATGCTAATTTAGCAGTACCAATTTGGCAAACATGGGAAATTGTCCTTCTCTAGTTCAGCCTTTCTCAATCCAGTGCCCTGCAGAAATGTTGTACAGAGAGTTATAACACATCTGGAAGACATCAAACCAGAAGAAGATTGCTTTACACACTATCAATCACTGCCAAGGCACTTCTGGCAGTTTCCAATACCTTCTATCCAAGCCTCAACCTGAGCTAGCATGAGGCTCCTACACATACACACCGCACATTCTTCAACATGTAGAGTACTTCAGAGGGGAGATGAGAGTTGGCCACATCAAACTCTGTGAGATCAGCTTCCAAAACAGATGGGGGTGGCTCCTTTAGCTGAAGGGTTGGCAGCTCCTTCTTGATACGCAGGATTCTGAACACAGGAAGAAAGAGCTGAGATTTCTGCAGATGGTCAATTAGCCGGTTCCCTCTTGCAAGAGAGGAGAGATGCTCCTACTAGGGGAGATTTAAGGGAAGGGGGGTCCTTCCCTCCCTCTCCCAAGCAAACAAACAATGTTACATGAATCTTCTTTCCATGTTGGTTTGAGCTCTATGAGAATGCACCAGCTTTTCAGGAGGAGGGCTAAGTTTACAAATAGTGCATCTTATCTTACTGAGATGAAACTGGCATCCAGCTAGCACAAAGAACTTGAACAATTCCTCTACTGCACTTCCAAACTGCTATTTTCCCTTAGCTGCCACTGTTTTTTCTCTCCCTAACACATATTTTGGCCCTCATTGTTGCACAGAACTTAACTTGCAAAACAAAAAGGGATTTAGAGGAATATCCAAGGAACAGCCTAATTTGAGCACATACATTTATCTGTATATATGTATATGGTTGGCAAAGTGAAAAATAGTTTCTTTTCTAATACAGGTAGTCCTTGACTTACAACCATTCGTTTAACGACCATTTGAAGTTATGGCAACGCTGCAAAAAGTGACTTACGACCAGTCCTCACACTTACGACTGTTGCAGCATCCCCGCAGTCACATGATCAAAATTTAGGCGCTGGCAACTGGCATGTATTTACAATGGTTGCAGCATCCCAGGGTCATGTGATCGCCATTTGCAACCTTCCCAGCTGGCTTCTGACAAGTAAAATCAATGGGGAACTGTGTGATTCACTTAACGATCATGTGATTTGTTTAACAACCATGTGATTCACTTAACAGCCATGATGACTTGCTTATTAACTGCTACAAAAAGTGTTATAAAATTGGGTGCGGTCACGTGATGCCTTGCTTAGTGACCACACTGCTTAACAATGAATTTTCTGGTCCCTATCATGGCCATAAGTCAAGATCTACCTGTATGAATAATAATAAGGCACAGGAACAATTGTTTATTTTCTGAACTGGGAATCTGGCATATTTTTGAAACACTGGAAGCTAGGTAAGCATCAATAAAAGCTTTCCAGTGTACATACTGTTTCAGGTGGCTGGCTTCCTTGGAAGCATTCCAGCATTTGTTAAGAAAAATTTAATGATACCAGAGCCTGCCTTAGCCCTAGATGTTGGGTTGACTCCATTCCAATACTCCCCTCCTGGGCAAAACCTGAATGTCACTGTTCTAGTTTTCCAAAATTCGAGCACCTTGTTAAGAGATGCCCCTTCATTCATTCAACCCCCTTGCCTCTTTCTGACTTGTTTGCTCACTTTTTGGCAATATTTAGCATCTTGAGCTTCTTTTTCATGCGTGGCCGTGAAGCAGACATGGAGGTGTCTACAAGGGAGGATGTAGATTGAGAAACCTGCCAAGAAAATGGAGGTGTTTAGTGAAGGGATGATTTTTCCTGCACATCTTGTTACGTGTATTGGTATCTAGTCAATAGGTTGCAGGATCATCTTTCAAGAGCCTTCCAAATATAGGTTCATGTTCAAGAAACAGGAAACTATTCTTCCTTTCTAAAGGTAACTTAGCACCTATAGGACAAACACCAATAGGAAAAAGATGGTACTTGTCCAACAAGACAAAGCATATTTTTTCTAAACAAACAGAAGAACAGTGAGATGCTGTCTAAAATGTGTTTTTACTGTTTTTTATATGTAGTCATTTTTATGTATTTATTTTTTAAATTGTTGCACACTGTCCAGAGTCACCTTGTGTGAGATGGGCGGCTGTATAAATATCATTCATTCATTCATTCATTCATTCATTCATTCATTCATTCATTCATTCATTCATAAATCAATCAATCAATCAATCAATCAATCAATCAATCTCCAAGGAACCTGAGTATATATAAAATCTGCCCCCTGAGATACTGCATCATGCACAGTGCTGGTCAATCTATTCATTCAAAGCAGTTAGGCACACCAGTTTCATGCCCTGATTTTTTATTACCTTGCGCATAATCTTCCGTCCATAGAACAATACTTTATCCCGCTTGCGAAATCGATATTTTGGTTGCTCTTGAGCCTGAACTTCTGTAGGGAAGTGAAAAAGGAAACT